CTCTCATCTGAACTCCAGACACACATGCACCTACCTGCCTTCTCTGTCCTCACAATGCCAGGTATGGAAATTCTCCATCCAAAACATTCTTCTGAGGTCAACTTGCTTCTCTCCATGCCTGTGCCCCTCTATACATGCCACTAGGTACTACTCTTTGCCTTACTGTCCCCATCCCACTATCCAGTCCTGATAGCATTACCTTGATACCTCAATCTGCTTTGTCCAGTCTCTACTGTCCATCATCATGTCTCACCTGGACTAACAGAACAGACTTCCAGATGGTTTTCTGATCTCTACTGTTGACCCTAATTCATCATGCTGTCACCTCCTGCTTACAACTTTTCAAATGGTTTTCACTATACTTAAGTGATCCAATCCAAACTTCCCACATGGTCCTCCATGATCTCATGCTTCTGGCTCTCAATTACACCTCTAGCAGTTCGCTCCTTCTCACATGCCAGCTTTCAACCATATCAACTACTAAGCAAACCCAGACCTTTCCTGCCCAGGGTCATAGTTCAGCTATTTCCTCTAGTGAGACTGTTCTCCCTGTTCTTGTACCTCCACGCTGGTCCCTTTTTCCCCTTTTGGCCCTGACTTACAATCTTTTCCTCACCTTCCAGGTATTCTCAGTCTGAGCCTATATTCCTTCCTTCTTGCAGTAGTGCCTATCTCTGTTCACCCCTCTGTGGCATGCATCTAACAGGAGCTCAGACCTGTGCTGAAGACATGTGGGAGAGGAAGCAGGTGGTAGCAGCAGGCTGCAGCCCACTCAGGTAAACATCATCCACCTCCCCAGAGAGGAATCTAGCTCTTCCCCCAAGCTCCGCTGACACTTGTTCTCCAGAAAGCCAGAGGCCCTCACTCAAGGCAAATGCCCCTCAGTGCAGTTACCTGAGCAGGAAAGGCCGGGGTGAGGCCTGGATATGGCCCAGGATGCGCTGCACCTCTTTCTTCACAAGATCAGACACCTGGCCTTCTCCGGCTCCTCCTGGGGTCTTCCCTAAAAGAATTTTCTGTACCCTGTGCAGGGAGGAGTGGTGTTGGGCTGGGGAATGCCTAAGGTCTATCAGATCACCTCCCCAGGGCACAGCGTCTGGTCTTCACCCTCTTTCTTTAAGGAAGAGTCCCAGGCAAAGCTAATGCCCTAGAATCCTTGCTACAGCAAGCCCTCTCAACCAGCACTGACTGGAGCCTTTGTCATCCCTTTCAGGGTTCCAGAAGTGCCAGCCAGACCCCAGTCCCCATCTCCTCACCCAGTGCTTTCCACAATCTTCTGGGATGTATCCTGGAAGGAGGGTATGTGCTGCTCTAGGGACCACAGAAAATAGCAGAGCCTCCGAACCAGCCAACCCCGGAACCTAGACACAGCCCCCAGAGTAGGGGCAGAAAATCCATCAGAGATCTCCTAGAGTCCACCCCCCTAGGGTCCAATGAGGACTATTAGATCAGAAAGGCATCACACCCAGTCCTAAGTCCCAGAACACCTGAGCAGGAAGAGGAACCACTGCCCCATCGGTGCCCCATTCACATTCCTCTCCCCACTGAATCAGGTACAGGTTCAGGGGCTTGACACACAGCGGGAAGGCCACTTATGCTCACAGAAGAAATGCAGAGGAGCTCCAAGATAACCTCTCCCCACATGCCTGGGTATGGAGTAAAGAACAGGGGCCCTTCTTTTTCCATAGGAGAAAGAAAATGGCATCAAAAGGCAGAACCCCAGCGGCCCTTTCCCCAAGGGGCCCTATTGCCACCCTGCCCCCCCCCCCAGCTCTGACTACCTGGTGTTCTCCTCCTTCACCAGGATCACACTGCAGAAGCCTAGATCCATTATGCTTCTGTGAAAGAGGGACTCCTGCCAGAGAGGGGGCAGGGACAGCATGTCCTAGGAGGCCTTTGCAAACTGGCAAAGAAAAGTCCTTGCCCTGCCCCTCAGGACTCTGCCTCATGGCCTAGTAAGCCTTCCAGGAGAAAAGATTATAGCACAGAATTTCCCAAAAGATGTATGACCCCAGATCCTAATGATGACTCAGGAAAAAGGGGTTCATACTCAAAATAGTTCATACTCCTGTATCTGTATAAAGTCACCCTCTTTGAGAGTGGTATATTAAGTCTCTAATAAGTTCTCTTCTCAATGGCAGAGAATAAGTAGCCTTGATCTCTATCAGAAATCTAGGCCTCCTCAGGCCTGCACATGGCATAGACCAGGTGTCCTCAAACCATGGCCCAGGGGCCACATGCGGTCCGCCTAGGACATTTATCCAGCCTGCCAGGTGTTTTTACTGCTGCTGCCTGTCCTGCTTAGCAGCCGACTTGACCCGGGGCCCGCAGTCCAGCCATCCAGTGATCTGAGGGACAGTGAACTGGCCCCCTGTTTAAAAAGTTTAAGGACCCCTGGAATAGACCAAAGAGCGGTCTTCAAGCATGGGTTGAGCACTAGAGAAGTCAGGGTGAACAGTGTCCCCCAAACTAAACAATAGGACTCATACAGCCCTCTGGGCACACCTTACTGACCCTTAGGTCCCTCTACACTTCCCCTACCCAACTCTCCCAGGCCTGGGGGCAAGCAGCCCAGCAACACAAGCTATAACAATGCACCCATTCTCCTGAAAGATAAGAGAAAAAGAGAAGCACGGGGCAGCAAAGGACCAAGCTTGGAAGGACATAGGAAGAAGCAGCTTCCTAGAACCGTGGCTCTCAGAACCAGGTTTTTCAGGGTGGCTGTGGCCCCACCATCACTCACCCAGCTCTTGGGGGTACAGGTCTGGCAGCAGCGACCCACAAAGGGACGATACTTCCCCAGGAATGGGGTGACGGCCTCCAGCTTCATCCCAAAGCCTGAGGACGACAGGCTGGTCTGGAAAAGGACCACCAGGAGAGGTAAGAGGACTCAAAGTCCTTGGCAGAGGTAGAGAGGATCCAGCAGTGAGGGGCACAAGAAGGAGTGTAGGGTAGAAGGTATTCCAGGAATGGGAGGGGTCATACTACCTCCCGGCCATTGCGGCTGCTCCTCTGCTGAGTTTGAAGTCTGCTTTCCAACATGGTGGCTATAAGGGCCTGTAAAATCTGGGAAACAGTCACTTCTGCCTTTCTCCCTCTCTACAGGAATCTGACCTAGGGAAAGGTGAAAAGATGGAGCCATATGGAATCTGAGCTATAACCCAGGGGTTCCTTGGTTGACTTCAATCCCCTATCCCCAGGAGACATAGACAACACCCAGGTTAGATGTGAGCAGAACCCAGGCTCAGATCAAAACCTTGCCCCACACCCAACTGGTCCCACTAAAGAGCCAGCTGTCCTGGTCAGGGGCTCCCTGGGCCAAGATGAGGGGAAACAGTTATCTTATCATCAACATCTACCCTGCCATATCCCAGCACAGATGGGGACTATACTGGATGTTCAGATCCCTTCTGTGCAGAGGTTAAGAACAAGGGCTGGATTGGCAGAATGAAGGCATGAGACTGCCAAAGAAGAAAAGAACCATCTCCATGAGGCCACCAGGTCCTACTAAGCTGCCCTCTCTCTCCCTCTCCCTCTCTCCCTCCCCACCAGAAGACAGCCCTTTATCCATTCAATCATTACAGAAATGTGGGCCAGCTACTACATGGGGGACAGAACACAGAAAAATGCCAAATAGACCTATTCCCAAGAAAATACTCATCCAGTTAGGGAGAAGATAGACTTTTCCATAATTGATCCCCACTCATGAAACAGAAGACATCATTTGGTATCTTCTTAGTGCCCCTCTTTCCACCATAATATTCCCCTAAACTATCAAATATTTGTGTTCTATAAAACAGCTCTAAACCCCTCCTGGCCCCAAAACTGGGCCCTATAAAAACCCTCTATATTTCTCATTGTGTCTCTGATGAGTAGGCCGGTTGAATTATTTACATATTCCCTGCCCCCCATACCATATGATGGACATGCCCACCTGGGAGTGCCTTTTCCCTTCCTAGCCACCCATCAAATTCTGCACATGGCTCTAAGTCCTGGATGACCTGGAACACCCTCTAGATTCTCCCTCTCCTTCTTGGGAATCCCTAGCCCAAGCTTACTGGGCAAGGAGCCAAGTGAAGCCATCTTTTAGGACTAAAGTTTCATCTCCCCACATCATCTGAACATGTCTTGCGGGCAAGGGCTGCAAATGTCTCATCTCTGTATGTCCAGATGGGCCTACATGAGAGATCCAGGAAGGGCTTGGTGACTGACTGTAACTTCCTCTCCAAGATCCTCAGGCTCTCCCCTTCTTTCCTCAATAAACTCAGTTTAGAACCATGAAGCCAAGTAGTAGCAGGATCACAATTTCTGCAGTGCACAGGCTCTGAAGGACTCATCCTAAAGGCCCTATTTTAAAAATGTTCTCACAGGCTTTTTCACAGACATGGCACAGGGAGAGCAGCCTGTGGGAAGTCCTGCCTGCTTTGCAAGACACTCCCAATCCCAATATCTGACCCCACTAGATCTGTGCTACCCCTAAACAGGCGGAGTAAATGTGGTTATTCCCATCTACTAATTAAATCATACAATCCAGGGATCAGTTCTGAGATCCACCTTTCTAGCATCCAAGTCCCCCAAACAGTGATTTCTATCAGTCTATAACTCCTATGGGGATGTCCCCTTCCCTGCAGGACATTCAAAGCAAAGGTTACAAATTGGCATCCCAAGGGCCAAATTTCAAATATATATTCATATATATATATAGACTGTAGAATAAGCTAAAACTTATGAATTAAAACAAACATTTAAAACTAGAGACTTTGACTCAGTGCCTGTAGCACAGTGGTTACGGCGCCAACCATATACAAGGCTGGCAGGCTCTAACCCAGCCCAGACCTGCTAAACAACAATGACAACTGCAACAAAAAATAGCTGGGCATGTGGCCGGCGCCTGTAGTCCCAGATACTTGGGAAGCTGAGGCAAGAGAATCGCCTAAGCCCAAGAGTTTGAAGTTGCTGTGAGCTGTGACGCCACAGCACTCTACTGAAGGCAACATAGTGAGACTCTGTCTCACAAATAAATAAATAAATAAAACTAGATTCTTTGACACGCACACACATATATATAAAATTAGAGCTTCCAGAAACTCTGACTGTGAAGAAATTTGCAACCTGGCATTCTGAACAAACACCTCGTAGGCGCCCAGAGGCCGCCAGCTGCTTAGCCCAGCATGAGCCCTTTGCCACCACATGGATCACACCTGGTGCCTGTCCCTGTGCACATCTGAGCAGCGTGCAGTCCTCCATCCAAGGATGAGTATCTAAACTCGTTACTCTGTTTGCAATGTTTGTGCCCTACACAGAACCACAGAAAATTTCCCCTTTAAAGCTCAGGTTGAACATGGCCTCTTCCCCCACAGCCCCGGTCCGGGAGGCCACTCTGAACCCAAGCCCCTCGCCAGGCCGTGGCGGGCATTCCCTGAGGTACCTCAGAGCGGACTAAAGGGCGTCTGCCTGCCCCAATTCTCTCGCAGACGCCTTCCTCAGGGTCTAAGGTGAGGGGGTGCTGAGGGCATTGGAAACCGGGGCTCTCCAACGCCACCCACCCCCAATGACCGCGGGTCCCCCAGTGGGACTCATTTACGCTACTGGCCTTGCACGACCGGGGTTCTATCCTAACACCTGCCAGTCCCACAAAGGTCCGCCAGCACAACTCCTTAAGTGGAAAAGTCCCAGAGCGATCTTGGGCCTAGTCTGACCTGGCCCAGCCAAGAAGCAGCCCCGGCGGGTCTCACCTCACACCCACAGCCAACTCCCGCCAAAGCAGCGGCCCTGGAGAGACCGCCAGCCGGAAGCCGCGCACTGGCGGCCTCGGTGAAGGACTCAGAAGCAGCCCTGAGGGCCAATACAGACACGCGCTAGGCCAAAAGCCCCGCCCACTGGCGCTCCGCTTCGCCCAGTGAGGAGCTACTTGCCCTGCGTCACTCGCCCATGCACACGTGACCTTACACTGGGCGGGGCCTGCCCACCTTCCCAGACGGGCCTCGAGGTTGGTTGGAGGTCCCTCTGTATCTGAAGGTTGGAGGAGGACTCTCACGTGGCAAGGTTCAAATGAAATACGTTCATAGGGCGTACACGCCTCCAACGTGAAATTCAGGGTCTAGCAAAATTCTGAGATGGGGGGAAGATTAGAAAAGAACCACTGTCAGGTCATGAAAAACAAGTCGGGCCTCCCCAGTGTCATTTCCTTTGTTAGAGAGAACTCCAGAGTCATAGTCAGAGACCTGCTGCAGCCGCAAGCTGCCTAGGTTTCAGGTGGGCCTATGACCAGTGTATTCATTCGTGTGATTATTTGATTAATGCCCAGCTCCTGTGGCCCTAAGCTCCATGTGAACAAAGATCTTATGGGTTCATTCATCTTTTGACTGTGTTCCCAGCTCCCAGCAGGATACTACCAAGGGGAAGGCAAGCAATATAGAATAAGTGAACGAGGGAATAACTGTGCTTTGTTCCTCCTCTGCCCTACATGTAATGAGCTCACCTGATATGCCGGAGGATTCCATAGTTTCAGAACATGAAACTCTGCAGGAGCAAAGCCACATATGAGCCTGCTTGGGCCCAAGGTAGCAGAAAACAGGCTCACTTCCCTCCCTCCTCTGACTCACCAACCCTGATGTAACTGCCCTACCTTCCACTTCCAGGATATATCTTTCTCCCTTCTTTTTGCCCTTTTTGTGCCTACCCTGTATGTATGCATCCACTTATTTTAACCCAGGTTTGCAGTGTCCTAATGGTATCTGTGGAGTCCATTTTGTGCCTTGTCTTATCTTTCTTTTGTATCAATGGGTGCCAGCCACAACACCCCGAGATTAGCAGAAAACAGGCTCACTTCCCTCCCTCCTCTGACTCACCACCCCTGATGTAACTCCCCTCCCTTCCACCTCCAGGATTATATCTTTGTATCAGTGTGTGCTGGCCACAACACCCTGAGGTAGCAGAAAACAGGCTCACTTCCCTCCCTCCCCTACCTTCCACCTCCAGGATGTATCTTTCTCCCTTCTTTTTGCCCTTTTTGTGCCTACCCTGTATGTATGCATCCACTTATTTTAACCCAGGTTTGCAATGTCCTAACGGTATCTGTGGAGTCCATTTTGTGCCTTGTCTTATCTTTCTTTTGTATCAATGTGAGCTGGCCACAACACCCTGAGATTTTGAGACTGAAAAAAGAAAAACACCTTTATTTAGCAGTTCTAAGTTGCCTCCTAAGAGGGCAGACTTGAATTTACATGAGGGCTGCCTCCTTAGTTCTGGGAACACCACCAGTATAGACACTAGAGTTTTGCAGTTGTGAATAGGTTCCTAGTACTGCTTCTTGGGGAGATTTAATGCTGAAGCGAGGCTGGAAAGTTGCATAGATTATAATGGCAGAGACCAGGTCTGTCATCTAGCAGAATTGCTTCTTTGGAAGAAATGTGTTTTTTGTGGTGGTTGTTTGCTGCAATTTGGGTATTTAAAAAGAAGCATGACTTCCCAGACCTAGATCTTAGTCAGGGTACAGAGGACTCAGTGTCCTCTCATTTGAGCATTTTGAAGAAGATACAGAATTGCAGTGCACCAAGGCTTACAGGCCAGCTGCCATGCAGACTGACTGGGATTGACCTGACCCTGAGAGAAACAGAAACTCAACTGGGCTTGTTCTGCTCCACCAGGACTAGAATTTGGGAGCCCCACCCTGCTTCCAACCAAAATGCATTACTCAAAATGCCTTGAAGCATGAAACTGACTCACTGAACCCAGGGGGACAAAGGCCCTTCCTGTGGTTGTGGGGGACGGAATACAATAGCAGGCCTTTCTGCTGTACATCATCTGAAGAAAAAGACTCTGTTCACATTAAACAGAGGGGCTTCTTGCCCATCTCTCTGGTGATCACCAAGGGGCTGGGGAAAGGGAGATGTGATGGTTAATTTTAGGTGTCAACGTGACTGGCTCAAGGGATACCTAGATAGGCGGTAAAGTGTTATTTCTGGGTATGTCTGTGATAGCATTTCTGAAAGAGACTGGTGTTTGAACCAGTGCACTGAGTAATAAAGATCTTCCCTCACCCA